AGGATAGTCTGTGTCTTCAGACAAATGCTCTGAGAAAGTTTGCAGCTCATGGATTATGCTCTTCTGTGTGGTTTTCCAGTGCACAAATTCATCAAATTTTCCAAGCAATTTATAGGATATATATTTAATTGAACTTTCCCCGTTTTATTTTGTATAATTACCCTGCCTCTATGGTGGTCACATTTGTCAGTCCTGCATTAAGTTTTTAAGGGGTTTTTGACCCAAGAAACCTGTGTCTTGGAGGAAAAAAACCCTCTAAGCAAACAAAACCCTCAACCCATGAGAAGAATCAGCAATGGCATGTTTGTTCATTTAAAGAAATAACTGGTTGAAACATAAAGGAAATTCAAACATTTCTTTTGGTCTTAGGTTTTATAAAGATTTATTTCTCAAAGCCCTCAGGGCTGTGTTCTCTGATCCTCCAAGCAGGCTTTCTCCTGTGTTAATATGTCAGCCGAGTTCTCCCTCTTGGAACCAGTGAGGACGTCAGGAAAAGGATGGCAGCAAGAGGACTCCGGATGCTGAGCTGCACAAGCTCAGGCAGGACACGGGGCCTCAAATGCTTCTGACATCCTCTGTGGCTGGACAGCCACATCAGGGTGAGGGAGCTGGGGCTTGGCAGCTGCCCTCACCCAGCAGTTGTAAGGTGTTGTAAAGTCAGGGCTCAGTCCTGCCTCTTAGCATATAAAATGTGTCTGGTTAGCCAGAGAAATGCCTTACTCCGAGCTGCTTTGGCTGAAATTGACGTGTAAATTTGCAATAAATTACAGTAACTTCTAAAGATCAAGATTTAAACCACAGAATGTTGATAATGTCTCATAAGATGGGGGAAAAGTATTTTCCAACTAACCTTTAACTTCTCTCTTAACGCTAATGTTAGCTTTAGTTTCTGTGCTTTAAGACATCCTCAGGTTGTGGCCTTCATATAAGTTATACATCCTGTTTTTCTTCTCTCCTTGAATACCTTTAATCAGCATCTCTGATATTTAAATTGTGGGTAAGGGCGGAGTTGTCCTTTTCTTGGGACCACAGCAGGTGGCTTTTGTCACCAATATTGCTGTGTCACCCAGTGGTGTCAATGAATCTGGCAACACTCTAAACATCTTCACAAAACTATTGTTTTTGTTTCTACTATTGTTCATTGTATTTAACCTCATTGTGAAGGATCAGAAAGGTGTGTGAGGGTTACACAGAAGCTAGAGAAAGTCTTCTTGCCCCTGAGTGTGTTTACAGTCATGTGGGTATTCATGTCCCAATATCCAGAAAGTATAGCAAATATGAATAGTCCTAGGGAAAAAAAACCCCAAACTTTTACTTATCTTGTCATAGAGTGGTCAGAGGAGATGGGATAAACCACAGTAATGCAAATGGTGAAACGTGCAGAACGAAGAGGATAGCTGTATCATATAAGTCATGTAGTACCATTTTGGGAGAGACATTCATAAAAGTGGGGTTTATTAGACAGAAATTACCTCTACCTTCTCTTTCACTAAAATAAGTAATAGAAAAAAGGAACCATTTGCTCAAAACTTCACATTCAGTACTAGACCACAGTGGTGTTGTACCTCTCTGATGCATTATAAAAGTTCAAATGACAGAAGGCTGAAAGAGTTCCTTAATTTCTCTTGCCCACTAATAACCCAGAATTATCATTAATTCCTTAACTGTTAAAAGACATATCACTTTTAATTATTTTATAAACCCTAGTAGTTAATGGGGTTTTAAAGTTATTACATAACTTTTTTTCATCACTGGGTTTTCTGTTGGGTTTTTTTTTTTTTAATTTTCAGTATTAATGTAACACAGTATATACTGGTTCATGCTTCATTCCATCTTACAAAATGAATAGGGGTAAGTGCTATAAAAAACTACCTGCATATTTTCTCCAAAGACTAAAATCATGATTTTTTTCCAATGTGAGTTTTACATGTCCACCTTTTCAGAGCAGATTTCAAATGCTGTGAGAAACACTTGTTCTTCTATTCCATCTATTCCATATATCTGCTTGCTAAACTTCCCACATCAAAGGGCTCTAAGCACCTCCAAGGTTAAAAAATACATCAAGGATGGGAATCTTCATGTTGAGATAGTCCAAAATGCCTCCAAGACTATTCTAGAAATGTTAGCCAGAGGTCAATGAGACATGCATTTCTAACCTCCAAATAGGATTAGCCATACCGGAATTTTCACCAGTTTCAGCTGCAGCCATTTGTGTAAATAAATGGCTGTGCAAACCAGGCCCAGTCTCTGTGAGTTTGTATGTGTGTGCCATGAAGGCTTAAATCACAGCAGTCTTCCAATGTGAATAGAATGTTTCAAGGGCTGAGCCTGAGATGGATAAACTGCTCAGGTTTTTGATTAATTGGATGCCTGACAGCAAATGATATGAAGATGCAAGCTGGCTGTAAAGCTGCTGAACTTACCAGCAGTTCTGCCACTGCAAGTTGGCAGGTACAAGGGGACAGAGATGAAAAGGTTAATGACACTTTGCTATCAGTTTATTTTTAATGGCTTTCCTCTCTCTCTCTTTTTTTTTTTTTTTGGTTAAAATAAGAACCTTAGAACAATGAGAATGTGCTTTCTCTCATGTCTGTTGCTAATATTGTGGGGTAAACTATGATATTGCTCCTCTGTCAGTCAGCAAGTCCACTTGGGAAGTACTGCACAGAGCTCAGTAGAGAGCACAAGTGGCAAAAATTGAGCCCACAGAAACCACCACATCATACACAAGCTAAAGCTGCAGTTTCACCTTCTGAATATACGTGTGCTACCTTTCGGTTTTGCAGTTGTGGCATCTTAAACTCCCAGTTCACCAGACCTGCATGTGTTTTACTTGCAAGTCCAGAAGGGATGAGGTTTATACTGATATGAATCACAGCTCATGGCTTGGAGACAGGACCTCTGTATTCCTGACTTGCATGCCTTTATCCAGTATTTGAAAAAATGGTGCAAATGAAGTTAATCATGACATTTTACATGCAATAGTCTCTGAAAATAGTTGAGGGCTCACCGCCACATACCTGGAATTTCACCTTGTTTTCCAGGTGAATCCCTTTTCAATCAGGAGATAGAATACCATGTAAGCTGGCACAAGCCTTTTGCTGAGAGGCCATGACTTGATTTCTTTAAAAACCAGGCAGAGACTCCAGGTTGCACCTCACCAGTAACAGCTTTAAAAGGCCTAGTTTTAGTAGGTCTAGATGTAGTGTAAATAACCATTTCCTTAAAGGTAAACTGGTTCCTCCTATACTCATTAGGCACTCCTCAGAAGCAGTGTTGGTTTACTTTTCTTTTTTTCCCATCGAGCTTTCAGGATGGAGTATTGCCAGGTATTTTGTTTTTATGTACTGTTATTATTTGTCACACAACTCTAAACTGGTACCGGCTTTACAGTGAAATCCTCACCACTCTGAACACTTCTCCATCACTTGCTAAGTTTCCTACACCTTTGAACTTCCACTGCAGGGAAAGTGACGGGAAGGATGGTGCGTGCGGAGCCGCGCAGCGTAAGTACCTGTACGTGCGAGCGGCCGCATCTTGCCTTTGATTTGCACCTCCTGTTCCTGTGCTGATGTTCGCGGTTCTGTTACATTTAACGTGTCCTTTAGGTCTGGATGGATGACTGAGCCCTGCGGGGACCCAAATCGCGCAAGGACGAAAAGTTTCTGAGGAACCAAAGACGCCCAGAAGGTGACTACTGCCCGCGGAGCACGGGCTGTGCTGCCTGCGGCCGCTGTACCTGGTGAGGCACCGGGTTGGGAGGCGCAGGAGGATGCACAGACATTTCCACGGCAGCGGAGAGCCCCGGTGAATTCCTTAGAGCCGGCCGCGCGGCACCGCCACCGGCGGCTCCGGATGCGCTCCAGCCCCGGTCCGGGAGAGCGGCCGGGCGCCGGGGGACACGCACGCCGGGCCGGGAGCGCGGCCGGCCGGGCCTGCCCAGGAGAGCCCCGCGGGCGCGGCCGGCGGAGCAGCGGGAGGGCGCGGGGCGCCGCGTGGCACCTGGCCGCCCCCCCGCTCCCCCCGCGCCTGCCCCGGGCATCCCGCTGCTGCTGCGCTGCCGGGCGGAGAAGGGAGGGACGGAGGAAGGGTGGGGGGGGAAAGTTGTGCTCACTCCTCTCCTTGGAGGCGCCCCTCCCTCCCCGCGACGAGGGCGAGTTAGAGATGCTATTTGCAACAGGCTGCTGCTGCTGCCGCGGTAGCGCGTCCCCGGGAGAGGAGCCGGAGCGACACGTGATGTGTCTCCTTATCAGGGTGCGCGGGGCAGCGCGGGGGCGGGCAGGGGGCGGGGGCGCCCGCGGAGCGCGGCGCGGCGGGGTCCCTAACCGTGCCCATCTCTCCCCTCCAGGGAGGCGCGGAGGACGGGAAGTTAGCGCGGAGTTGATGAACTTTGCACATCCACAGAAACGCCATTTTGATTCCTTTTTCCGGAACAAGTTTGCGGCTCCCTCCCGTGCGCGCTCCCCCCGGCGCGCCCCCGCGCCCCCCCGGCGGCCCATCCTCCCGGCATGTCGCGGCGCAAGCAGCCCAGCCCCAGCAAAGTCCGGCGTAAGTACCGCGGCGCTGCCCGGCCGCGGAGCTCCCTCACAAAGGGCAGGAGCGTGCCTTAACTCTGGAGTGATATCTATTTCTTTTTTTTTTTTTTCTTCCTACTTCTTTTCTTTTTCTTAAGGGAGGGCAGGAAGAAAGATGAGGAAAAATAAACTTCTGGGAGGGGGCAGGCGCGGGCGTGAGGACGTTGCAGCGTGTCGGCTGGTCGTGCAACTTATTTAAAAAATGAAATGCTTCTTAGAGGGGGGGGAAAAGTTTCCTTTAAAAAAAAAAAAAAAAGGAGGAAAAAAGTTTGGCTGGCAGCGGTGGAGATGATGATGAGTTCGTGCAGCCTCCCTCTTCCCTTCCCCCGCTCCTCCCTCTCCTCTCCTCCCTCCGCGGCTCCTGTTTTTTTTTTTTTTTTTTTTTTTCCCTTCCCTGTTGCAGACTTTCTACCAACCAGCGGCACCAGCCGCGGCGTTTTGCCTTCAGGACCTGATGCTCATCCATATTAAACCGTCTGAGCTCAGGAATCCGGCCAGATCATCCCCCCCCTCCTGCTGCAAAGTTTATTTTTAACCAGCCACCGCCACAATTTGGATGGGGCTGCGAGGAAGCAACATCTTCTAGCCCGGCTCGCCCCCGTCTCCCGAGCTTGCCTTTTAACTTTTCCTTCAGGCTTATTTTCCTGCCGGCGGTGGCGGCGGGTCCCGCGGCGGCCCCTGCCCGCTGTTCCCGGCTGGGAGGGCCGCGCCGGAGCTGGAAAGTTGGGATGAAGGCGCCCCTTCTCCGCAGGTAGAGCCGGCTTGCGCCGCGCATCTCTCCGCTCACTTTCCGCTCCCCCGGCAGGGCCGGACGGCCGCGCCTGCCTTTCCTCGGCACCCTGGTACCTCTCCCCTCTCTCCTGTGCTCCTCTTCCTTACTTTATTTGATTTTTTTCGCCTTTCCTCCACTTTCTTCACCCGCCCCCCCCCACCCCCCTCGTCTTCCTCCCCCCCGTCCCGGTAGGGACGTGCGTGTCCTTTCCCCTCTCGGCCTGCACGGCGGGGGCGCGGGGGAGCCGTGCCCGGGGAGGGCGGGGGGTGCTGCCCCCCGTGGGTCCCCCCCGTCCCGCTGCCTTTGTGCGGTGCCAGGAACACATCCCTGCGCGGCGGGGCCAGGGACGCCTGGGCGGCGTCACCACTACAGGAAGGAGCCGGGCAGCATCTGAAGCTGAGCACAGGGGTGTCCGGGCCCTCGCCCCCTTCAGCCCCATCTTGGCGGAGGGGGGGAGCGGCGAGGCAGAGGTGACCCCCCTCTCGCAGTGGCGGTGTTTGAGGTGAAAACAAAGTTTGGGGCGGCGCGGCTGGCGCCCCCCCGGCGCGGTGCCCGGTGCGGATGGGAGCCGGCCGAGCCCCGTCTCTGGGCGACTGCGCTCCCTCCCCGTCGCCGTTGCTACGGGCCGGACACCCCCGGCGGCGCCGCGGGGGCCGCGCTGAGGATGCGAGGCAGCTCCTCCTGCCCAGTTCGTACCACACGGGCTCGGCATCCCCCCCGCCCCATCCGCCCGGGGTGAGGGGGCGCGGGGGTCGCGGGCCGGGCCGGGAGCGGGGCGCGCCGGGATGCTGCAACTTTTTTTTTTCAGCAGAGGAGGGAGGGCGGTGGATTGAACTTTGTCATGTCGCAGATAAGTTTCCTTTGGCTTCTTCTCCCTGCACTTCTTCCCCGCCTCCCTCCGCACGCACACTTGGGTTTTTTTCTTTTTTTTTTTCTTCTTTCGTTTTTTAATAATTTTCCCCGTTTCACTTCTCGGCTGCGATATCTTCTCCTCCTCGGCATCCTCGCGGGGTTGCGCAGAAGGAGGAGAGCGCTTCTCCTGGCTCAGCACATTTCCCTGTCCGGGCCGCTGTGCTCGGCTGCGCACCCCGCGGAGGCCCGGGCGCCTCCGTGCCCCGCCGCCCTCCCACGGCCGCGCCGCGGTGTCCGGCCCGCAGCTGATGCTCTGGTCCTGCTCGCCGAGGAACCAGCATCCTGCCCGGGAGCCACCGGGCTGATTGCTGCAGGGAAGGCGGGGGGCATACCAACCATTCAGTTTTAATCCCAGCTCCCTCTTTCGCCTGTTTTCTCTTGGAGATAAGATCAAGTGTATTTACTTATTTGAGAAAGTAAACATCTAGTTCAGTGTGATTTGGGGGCAATGGTCTAAGAGAGACAGCCAATGCAGTGGATGTTTCCTACCATTCCAACATCCAGCCCCATGACTTGAAAAATAAATTGCTTATTAACAACAGGAGCAGTTGCTAAATAACGCCGTGTTGTCACCCCTACAGTGCACAGTAGACAGCTGTTATGATGGCTGAAGTTTTTTCGTTGAGGTCGGTCGTTTTGACACCAGCACTGAGTTTTGTTACCGCAGTTCCTGTTTTCCACAGGGTCAGCGTGCGTGAAAGGGATGCAGTGACTCAGGGTCAGGCCAGCCATATTTGTTTTAGGTTTTAATTTTCTCTTTGAAGACTTAAGGGTATATAGTCTTTTCTTGGTGGGCCTGCATAATGCCGATTAGCCTTAACCGGAGTTGGGTACATCCAGGAAAGAATAGGCCCTTTTGTTTGTTAGAATCCCAGGAACAGCATGAATCCATCATCCAATCAATCAGAGTACCAGGGCTCTCCCTCACCTGCCGGCAGGGACGCATCCAGCCTCTCATGCTGCAGGGCAGCTGTTCCCGACCGAGTGTGGCCTCTTTTGCTCCCTCACCTTCCTCCTCCTGGCATCCGTATTTGGAACTGAATTCGTATTGTGTCGTTGGAAAAATATCATCCTTTAAGTGCAATCAAGTAAAGTTCTATTCTCCTTTCATTTCACAGACAGCTTCTAGTTGTCAAATTTTCATTTGCTCATTAGAACTGACTATTTATGTAGCCACTCTTACACATTTCTTTTGAGAACTAACAATGCTAGAGAAGATATATATATTTGGCTTATATGGCAGAGTGTTGACTGTTTTTCTGGGGTTTGGGGGTTTTTTTGTTGGTTTTTTTTTTCCATCTGGACCTGGGCGTTTGAAGCTTCACTTGTAGATTTCAGTATAATGAAGCATCTTATTCTGACTTAGCTCACCCAGCTTGTGATCCCACTCTTAACTCTTTACAGTATTCAGTGACCCTCTGACAAAATGGCTTTTCTTTTTGATTGAGGATTGAGAAGTAACTTCAGGTTTCAAAATTGGGAAAACTGAATCTCTTCATTACCTCTCAGTAGTATGTGTGATCTCTTTTGGTACCAAAGATAAGTGCAGTGTTTCCCAAAGTGTACAAACACTGACCTGTGCAGTGCTTTTCTCACTCCTTAAGGATATTACTACTTTGCCTATGCTGAAGTAACACTACAGTCATAACAGTAGCTTGACTTTAGTCTGTGAAACTTTCTTCTTAAACAGAAATAGTTTGAATTGCTCTCAGTTGGATTGGATTTCTCATTTAAATAAAAACTGGTGATGCACTTACACTGTATAGATTAAAAACATATAGATAAATCCCTTTGGTTATATTCATTATCCCTTGTAAAAGTAGGTGGTGCTTAGAAGGTCATAGGATAAGTGTTGCTAAGCAGCTAAACAGAAGGATGCTAAAATTAACCTGAGTGTTTTTGAAAAGGATTCACTTTTTAAGTTGCAATAATTTTTTAATTTACTTAAAATACACCTTTTGCTAGTAACACATAAAATATATATATATACGTAGATGCATAAGTAAAGCTTTCCAGAGGACTGTGTCAAATGTTCAAATTATCTACGTACAGGAGTAATTCTACCCTCCCCCAGTACACTGAAATTTTACTAACATCAGGCCCTTGATCTGTGCCCTTTGCAAATGTCCCTCCAGAGTTATCTGTTGCTCCAGGAGCATCTGATGTATGTTGGATAGCAGCCTGTAGGGACAGTCTTGGGAAAAAAGAAACTGCAGAAGTTCCCCAGGAACAGGCAGAAAACAAGTAAATCCTGTTAGTCTGAAATCTATGCATGTGTGGAAAAAGCCCCTTTTAACTTTTTGATGAATGATGCCTAAGTTTGGAAATCTCTGTTTTAGGTGTACACTCTTAAAACATGTGAAATCATGTCTTCCTCTTTCAGCATGATAAAGGTTGTTTTGAAATGAGTGTATTATTGGACTGTGTTACTAGACCAGTTTGTGACTGCTGCCTTGTTGATGTGGTAGCTTCTTGCTTGGGAGTTAATTGTCTGTAGAGGAGGATGGTAGTGCTGCTTTCTGTTCTCCTGATGGTAGTGAGAATAGTTCTTGCTCTCTGTCTTCTATCTCCTTTCTGAATTCAAGCAAGATGGACAGTCATAGGATTACAGCTTTAAAATATGCCTTTTCAACAGCATTCTACAACTTGGAAAAGGGCCAGAAACTGCTTCATGTTCTTTTGAGAGCAACTTGATCATGGATGGGGTGCTCAGGTACCCTGCAGCTTTGCTGGGAAGTCTTTTATGGAGCAGATGTAAACTTTGAGGGTGAGAAGGAATTGCCTTCTGAGACAATGCAACAGCTTTTTTTTCTTGCTTTGGGGTGGGAGGTTTGACTTGACTAGATGTTGCTCAGCAGTTAAAGCAGATTTTCTTTGGGGAGGCATATGAGGAATCCTTTCTCTGTGTGCATTGTTTTATTTTGTTTGCTTGTTTGTAGCTTTTCTTTTTAACGTCCTACATAAACCAGCACCTGTGGGAGCTGTGGTTTCCCCCTCTCCCCCACGCACATTTAGAAGAATCTTTACAGGCAGTGATTTCAAAGGCAGGACTTGGGTATTTCTGGGAATGTCACACTGAAAAGTCAAGGTATTTGTGTGGAGCCAGGATGGGCTTGAAACTGGCAGAGCTTTGCCAGGCCAGGTTTGGTTATCAGCGTTTGATTACAAATGAACATAGGTGAGGTTGGCTGAGGTGGGAAGTGCTGGCTGTGTTCTGGGGTACTTCTGAACAGGAATTTCAGGAGCATTGACTCTTTGTTCTTCTTTGGTGCAAGAAATCTGATGATGGCTTATCTTTGATGTCTGCCAGTGATGTTTTTCCCACCTGAAGGTGTTCCCTCCACCTCACCCTATACCACTCTGTTTTGAATAGCAACATTTGAGGGCCAGTGACTTAAAAGAGTACAAACTCCTGAGCCAGCAGTACCGCAGCATCTCACGCTCCTTCCTGCAGCATTTTACTTGGAGCAGGGTGACAGGACTTATTTGGAGCTTGTGCTAATGCTTTATTATGAAATGTTGAAAGCAGAAATAATTGCCAGCTGGGGCATATGCTCTGGGCTCCTGTTGGGCGGCTCGTTCATGTTGTGGTGGAAAAGGGTCAGAACAAGGAAAAGGGCCTGGACAAAAGGGAGAAGAGTCAGTGGGATACTTGGCTTGTGGCTGTGCTGGTATGAAACCTGTTAGAGCAGCCTCCTGCAGGCAGAGAGGAATCGTCCTGATGTCACTGAGCAACGCCTGGACCTGTGCTTCCTTTAGAAACAACACAGGCCTTCAAGTGTATCCTGCCCTTTTTTTTTTTTTCCCCTAATAATAACATTTCAGCCTTCAGGTTGGCCAGCCTAGCAATCAATAAAGGTGGTTGCCTTTGACTAGGTGCTTTACAAAAATACATAGTTGATGGGTGGTGACTGTTTATTCAGAATGATTCAACTAAGTAAGGCTAAGGGAATCTGAATACCTCTTTAAAGATGTAGAGAGAGGCAGCTGTTTGAACAGCAGGATTCATCTGTGGAGTCCCAGCCATCCACAGAGGTGTTACAGCCAGGGAAAAGAAAAACTGTCAA